TGGTCCATGATTTAGAGAGTCCCCATGAAAAACCCTCTTTTTTATATAATTCAAGTAAAGGAAAATTACCGGGTACTCGACACAGCAATCTGAGTATGTTGTAAGTAATAACATCCTCACCAGGCGACGTGGAGATGCCCTTAGTGCTGCATCAAGTTCATAATTAGTGAAAGGAATGTTGCAGTCATCTGCCTTGCTGAGCATAAAGCAAACAAGTATCTCCCTTGCATCATATTTGTCCATTAATTTCGCCTGTGTGGTACTGGGAAGACTGTCATAGCTAGATGTAGCAGCCCAAGCACTAACTCATTCGCCCTATGCAAGGGATGAGGGTGCGCGATCTGCCCAGTTCTGTTACCCTTAATTCTATTTATTCCCTCCATGCCCGGCAAAAGTGGGTGTGAGCATTGAGACCATTGACAAATTGTTCCCAGTCTGTTTGCCGCAGCTCTGTCCATACGCTCTCTGGCAGCAGTAAGGCAGTTTGGAAGAGGCTCAGCATTTCAGGGTACGATGGTTTCTATAGGCTAGGCCTAGTCTGCGAGCAGTACGTTTCAATTTTTCGAAGTTTAGAATCATTGTAATAGGTATGGTTTTTATAAGACATGATTTTTAAATGGAAGTCATTTGGATTTAGAGTAGTAGGAGGTTTCAGAGGCGGCTCTAAGAAGTTCTGAATACTGCTCACAAGGTCATTGTTAAAAGTCTCGACAGAGGTACACTCATGGGAATTATACCAGTCAGTCACATGTGCAACAAAGTCATCATGTTGATCAGGGGAAACATTAAGACGTTTCCGTTTGAATATCCCACCAGGGAGAATAGTATTACCAATATCTAGAGAGGTTAGCCTTGGGAAATGATCAGACGCTATATCTGTTACAATGGAAGACTCACAGCTGGCAGAAGTAATGTTGAAGCCCAGGCACAGATCAAGGACACCTCCATAGATATGTGTGGGTTCAAGGTCACCTACAATTTGCACATTATCATGACTGTTTAAGAGTGACAATAGTTGATAGCCATTACGATTACCAAACTGAGAGTTTCCAATTAACACATGATAGTACACATGTGCAGTGAACCACAGCTCACCTCTGAGTATGCCGTGCTCAATGTCGTCCAGGTGGAGGGTGTAGGGGCCCACCTGGTAGGCGAATCTCCTCCAGAAGTCTGTGACGCTGAGGGTGCTGCTGGGCAAGCGGTTCATAGACACCAATGCATGGATCGTCAGCAGGTTGTACAGATCGGAGAAGAGTTAAGGCTAGGCGGCAGCGCTGGTGGTTAAGGGATGTGATAGTGGTGAGGGATAGGTGGTGATGGCAAGATGGTACACGTAAGGGGTTAAGGATTGGTGGTGATTGCATTAGCGGTAGTAGTGGTAAAGGTAATGAAGGTGATGGTAATGAGAGTGGTTGGTATATGGTGATACATAAGAACATAAGAACATAAGAATGGAGGAACACTGTAGAAGGCCTACTGGCCCATGCGAGGCAGGTCCTTATCAAAACAACCTCTGCCTATGATGAGGACGGGTAGACGATGAAATCATGTGACTCCTGTGTTGTTGGGTTGGTGCTGCTTAAGTATCATGTATGCCAATGTTTTTGAAATTTTGTAGTTTCCAGTGTTGCGTTCTATAGTGTCGGTGACGGCGATTAGTGAGGCTTCTAGGCACCGTCGGCGTCTGAGGTCTGGTTCGGTGAGAACAAGTTGTGCCTCATTCCAGTTCATCAAATGCCCCGTGGAGTCTCTGTGGAGGACACATGCGTACCTTACATCGTCTCTGTTAGAGGCATTTCGATGTTCATTCAGGCAGACTGCAAGATCTCTGCCTGTCTCGCCTACATATTTCTTGGGACAGAACCCACAGGGGATAGTGTAGACGCCTGCTGTAGAAGTTAGAGGTGTGACTAAAAATACTAAAATCGTAATTTTGTCACATCGAAGGCTATAGTTCCTTTCTATCAGCAGCCTTAGAGTCAGATACAAAAAAGCTTCTGGAAGATCTAAATAATACAAAAGGATACTTATGAAAAAAGATTTGCGTTCTGCTTCGTCCATCTGGAGTGGGTCGACTTTCTTGAGGAGCGCCCCCATCTCCAAGAAGTTGGTGCTATAAATGTCGCTGTTCTCCAGGGCCAGGTACGACACCCGTCTTCCATCCTCTGTCACAAAGTTCTCCACCAATCTGAAGGAACAGAGAACTTGGGTAGGAGGAAGTGAAGAAAGGGGAAGTGGAGGATATTAAAGAAAATTAAGAGGGAGAGTGGGGAAAAAATAGAAAACGAAGAGAGTTTAGTTTAATATGTTTATTATACACCCCATACCCATCCTGTGGGCGGTAGTCAAAAGATTACAGAGGTACATAATGGGTCCAGGGACTGGGCCCCAAAGTTTTGATGGCTGAACTAGGTACAAGGTAATGAACTCACAAGTTACAAAGGTAATGAATACTGTAAGAATGGTTACTTACGTTTATACATGGCTACAATCATGAACAAATTTTAGAGTAATGAGCAATTCACACTTCCACACCCGGTCACAACTGTAATGAGTTATTGGTGCAAATATTGATTGTTGAGTCACAAACACACACACACACACACACATCACACACACACACACACACAACACACACCACATATACAAATTCATACACACACACACACACACACACACACACACACACACAAACTCATACACCACACACGCACACACACTCATACACACACCACACACACACACACACTCATACACACACACACACACACACACACACTCATACACATACACACGCACACACAAACACACTCACAAACACACACAAAGGAGCTTGGACTCGACCCCTGCAATCTCAACTAGGTGAGTGCACACACATACACACACACAAAAAACACACACCACACACACACACCACACACACACACAACACACACACAACACACACAAAACACAACACACACACAAACACACACACACACACAAACACCACACACACACACACACACACACACACACACACACACACACACACACGCACCAAAACGAAGAAAAATAAGATATATATAACATTTTTTATAAAATTAAGACTGATTTGGAAGTTTTAAATGTGCATGCCATACTATTCCCACAGTCACAATATTACCCCAGTGAGTCGAAAGACGGGCTCCCCAAACCTCAGTTAAATTCATAAGTTAAAGAGCAATGACTTCTTTACAAAATTAATTCAGTCTTATAATTTATATAATTTATAATAAACATAATAAGCGTTAGAGGTAGTTTCGTCAAAATCATGAACATTAACAATGTAATTTCCCGTTTTGAATACTGACAACTGTGGGCACTTGCTTTATTTTTTTAATGCACTTGCTTATTTGGGACATTTATTTTGTAGACATACGTAAAAAATTTAAATAAATAGGCATTTGATGAAAATTTGTGGAAAAGATGTTTCTAAATAGTACTTGATTTATTTTATGTATTTTAGCGCATTTTGACGCTGGAGTGAGAGTAAGTCTGTTGGTAAAGTTCAGCAATGAGTAACGCAAACTGAGAGAGGTACTTGCAGTCCAGCCGGAGATGAGAGGCAGCAACATCTAAAAGTCTGTTGAATTTGTAGGAAAAGTCATAGACAGGTGGTTCCTTCACCATAATAGTAGGTTAAACTGATTAATTGGTATCAGTATCGCAATCTCTCTTCAGTTATTTTAGAAAAAATGGAAATAATGATTTGCACAAGAAAAATTATCCAAAATACCGGGAAGTGTTGTAATGTAGGTGAGAAATCTAAATTTGCATATTTGAACATAAATAAAAATCTATTTGATGTTAAAATAGTAAAGAATACCAACAAATTGAAGAGTAATTATATATGCAATAGTTGGGAATTTTTACTGTGCCTGAAGAATAGTTCACTGTGGAAGACTGTTGCATGTTTTGGCTTAGGGTCCAATGGTCTCCAGTCCTCCAGGGACAAACTGGCACTGATGGTCCAAGTCCCCATATCTACTGAGTTCAGATTCTTCCCTATAACAGCAGCACCACACCTGCCTAACAATGAGACTGAAGTATCTATGTTAGTCAGAGTAAATACGCAGGTATAGTCCCATACTGCAAGTCTGTCTTCCAGGGAGAGTGATCCCATCAGGACAGCATTACCTAAATTAGTCCTAGTATTATTTTTATATCCCCGTATCACCACCAGTGAAACTTTTATAATCCATTTAGAATAGTGATCATCTCTTTTGTCTATGTTGAGAAACTTCTGCAGCAGGGTTAGAGTGAGTTATCCCAACCATTTAATTAGCCATTACTGTATTTCTTTTAAAACATACTCTGATGCTTGGAATATGCACGTCTTTCTGGGACCTTGGTGGTACATGAACTTCGGCATCACTGTTATGCAATACTACAAGCACTCTATCAGACACTTATGAAAGCAGATTATTATTATTATAATCAAAAAGAAGCGCTAAGCCACAAGGGCTATACAGCTTATGAAAGCAGAGATACGGTAGGGCCAACTCTTGAACTATGCAAGATACGCAATCTCTACCATGCTTGGAGAGCAAGGTGAGATATCTGACTTTTTTTTTTATACTGGCGACATTATCTGGTCACAACAAACCTAAGTATAATGACTTTAAATTCATGATTTAGTATCTAGTTATTTAGTCGGGCTGAAACTGATAGTTCAGGTAGGTCTTGCAGACTTGCACCCTGCGCCTCTAGTAGGGTGGCAGGAGATTTAGTATCTTCGTTTCCTCATATTGTCATTCGTAAAGCTTTATCAAGCTCTTTTTATAAATTATAGTTTGAGCGAAATGTTATCCCAATAAAACTTTGTTCTTCATATTGTGTCTTCATATCTACGCACTTCTGGAGGGACAGCTACTGAATGAATTAGGGCGAATACGTTTCCTTTGGGTTAACCTACCTTGGTGAAAAACAGCCAGTGATTCAACACAAGAGTTTTTGGACGAACAGATTTGGGTTATGAATTACGACTTCAGTTTTTGTTGCCGGAGGAAAGAGCGGCCCTAAATATGTATTAAATACTGGTGCTAACTCACATGTCCATGAAAACAGAAGTCATGCCAACCATCTGGGTGGGTGTAACGGTGATATTGATGGGTGGAGTGTCACTGTTGAGCACTCTTAACGGTGATGACCAAAGCCCCATCCACGACAACAATGACAGTAGCGAGGCCATCATCCTTTCTTTCAGCACGACCACCACAGCTCAACACAACAGGTCACGTCAGATTACCTTAGGTCAAAAAGGCAGGTAGCCTTAGATGAACACAGGTCACCTAAGGACACGGCAGACTACCTCAGCTCAACACTGGGCACATTAGGTCACTGAAGACTTTCTGTTGGGAAACCAATTAACTAATATAAACATATATACCAAGCATTGTTTTACAATATTCTAGTATAACCCGATGTTTACGTAATGCCTTCAACTGTTTTTGCATTATGCATCAATGTAACGTATTCAGTACTAATTAGTTTTCATCCTAGCCCAAGTTTGACAAAAATGCTGTGCATACTCTGAACTTTTCAGTTTTACTGCATTTATGTAATGTTTTGAAAATGAAAATAATGATTGATTTACATTTTTTTGATCCATCCCGGAAAGACCTCTTGGCAGCTGCCTCATCTAGCATTTTAAACAGAAAAGCTTGTCGAACTGTACGACAGTTTAGTCTGAAAAAATATCTACCAGCCTAATCATTTTTACTGCACTAAGCTCCATTTAGCGTTTTCTACCCAATACCGGAGTGGAAAATTACATTTATCTGAATGTATCATTATGTACATAACAATAAATGAACAAAGATAATTATTATTTATCAGTTAGACAAGTAGGAATTTGGGACACCTAGGTCACAAAAATGTCCCCCTTCGATACCTACCACTGTCATATCCACAAGTTGCTCTAGACCTATTAATTATAAATAAAAAATACATCACCAGGAATGCTGGTAAATATATAAATTTGTGGACTGTATATTAAAAATAATAAATGATTATATATATATATTATATATATATTATATATATATATATATATATATATATATATATATATATATATATATATATACACATTTATACAACAGAAGGAGAATATATCTTAATCATAACACTCACCAATTTGACAGGAGATTAATGTGTATCATACTCAGAAAACCTCACTGTCTACCTATGAAAATAACACTGGCCAGAGTTAAACATAACAAACTTATCTGAGGTTCCTGGAGCTGTCTTGTCCAGTCGCCTGATATCTCAAGTTATGCAGGAATGCACATCCAACAATTTCGCCTCCTATTTGAGAGGTGTCAACCCAATTTTAACCTCTAGAGCACGAAAAAATTCTTCCCATTATTCACAACGTGTTATTCAATTCAAACAAAATGGCGACTGTCCCTTCTCTTCAGGCTCAGTTTCCCATTTTCTATGACATAAATGTTATTAAATACAGTATGGTCATCTATATACATATAAATACTGAATTTCTGGAAAATATATAAGTATATTCCACAACCGGTTTCAGTATACAAAGCAATGAGCTATTATTATTATTATTATTATTATTATTATTATTATATTTGTAGTATTATTTTCATGGGGAAGTGCTGAACCCTTAGGCGTCATACATTATCTTGTGAAATGTGAGTAAATGTGTTTGAACCTAGAAAGGGGAGAATAGCACTAATCCATTGGATGAAGAGCCCTTCAACATCAATGCCCCTTTCCCCCATGAAGAGATTTGTCATGTTTAATATGTATTTGTCAAGCTAAGTGACTTTGTTCACTTTACTGTGTATTTTTCAAAATTAATGAGTATTTGTTAATGTTTAGCATTGCAGTAATAACAATGGTACAAAGCAGCTGGAGTACAGCAATAACAGTGAACAGCAGCTGGAGTACAACAATAACAGTGAACAGCAGCCGGAGTACAACAATAACAGTAGTGAACAGCAACTGGAATACAACAATAACAGTGAACAGATGGAGTGCAACAATGACAGTGAACAACTGCTGAAGTGTAAACAATAACAGCAGTGAACATCTGGAGTACAACAATAACGCTGAACAGCTGAAGTACAATAACAGTGAACAACAGCTGAAGTACAACAATGACGGCAGTGAACAGGAGCCGGAGAGAGTGAACAGCAACGGGAGAGTGTACAACAATGACTAAGGAACGCAGATCGTGGCAATAATTGATGCTTTGAGTGAAGAACTTTCCTACTTTCACCGAGATTCTCTGCACGATAATGCGACACAATGATACTCATCACCTTGGTTACTTTGACTCACTACGACACGATATGTTCATCAACGTGTTTACTAAGACTCCACAACACTACAATAGGGTACTCATCACCTTGGTTAATAAGATTTACAACACTATGACATACTCATCACCGTGGTTACTAAGATTTACAACACTATGACATACTCATCATCGTGGTTACTAAGATTTACAACACTGACCTAGAAAATGTACAGAGAACCTTCACGGAGCACATAACGGAGATAAAACACCTCAATTACTGGGAGCGCTTGAGGTTCCTGAACCTGTATTCCCTGGAGCGCAGGCGGGAGAGATACATGATTATATGCACCTGGAAAATCCTAGAGGGACTAGTACCGAACTTGCACACGAAAATCACTCACTACAAAAGCAAAGGACTTGGCAGACGATGCAACATCCCCCCAATGAAAAGCAGGGGTGTCACTAGCACGTTAAGAGACCATACAATAAGTGCCAGGGGCCCGAGACTGTTCAACTGCCTCCCAGCATACATAAGGGGGATTACCAACAGACCCCTGGCAGTCTTCAAGCTGGCACTGGACAAACACCTAAAGTCGGTTCCTGATCAGTCGGGCTGTGGCTCGTACGTTGGATTGCGTGCAGCCAGCAGTAACAGCCTGGTTGATCAGGCTCTGATCCACCAGGAGGCCTGGTCACAGACCGGGCCGCGGGGGCGTTGACCCCCGGAACTCTCTCCAGGTAAACACTATGACATACTCATCACCGTGGTTACTAAGATTTACAACACTGACATACTCATCACCGTGGTTACTAAGATTTACAACACTATGACATACTCATCACCGTGGTTACTAAGATTTACAACACTATGACATACTCATCACCGTGGTTACTAAGGTTTACAACACTATGACATACTCATCACCGTGGTTACTAAGGTTTACAACACTATGACATACTCATCACCGTGGTTACAACTGTCCTTACTCATATCCTTTTAAGAACTTAGTTACCATGTTTCCCCTTTTCCTCATACATATATAGGAACGAAGACACCTTTATAACTCTTATGCTAGTACCATGAACCATACTGTAGCTCTTCTTTGCATCCTTAGTCAGTGTTTTGTCGATGTTGGCACTACAACTTATTGTATATTCAAATTTTGACCGAACATACGTTGTAAATACTATTTTTAGCCTTCATCCATAGATCTGAAAGCTATTTTATTATTTGTCAGTGGTGATACTCTAGTGACAATCTTATATTAACAATAACTCCTTGATCTTCCTCATTGCCAGACACTGAATATTTTGTCAAGCAATTTGTACTCTTCTTGTGCTATGATTTTTACCTTCTCCCATTTCATGATATTTATATACAGTAAACTCAATTGTCTAATTTTCAGTCCATGTCATTGTGTAGAGGTTCACAATAATTGTTACTCTTATGTACAATAAGACTTTTATATCCTTAATTCAATAAATAGTCATATAGGTTCTAATCCTGCTGGGAAGTTATTTACAAATCTAAAACATATCAGTGAAAAGTACGGATATTTGTGACATATCAGTAACATTTTCCCATATGAAGACAATTTTCCTCTTATTTCTGTTCGTTTTTCTCCCACACAAAAAAATCTTCCATACAAAATATCTGATTGTGTATACAAAGGACCTGGCTGTGTACATATGGTTAGTTTAATATGTTTATTATGCACCCCATACCCATCCTGTGGGCGGTAGTCAAAAGATTAGAGGTACATAATTGGTCCAGGGACTGGACTCCAAAGTTTTGATAGCTGAGCAAGTTACAGAGGTAATGAACTCACAAATTACAAAGGTAATGAACTCACAATTTACAAAGGTAATGAACTCCAGGTAGGTCTGGTCACAACCATGACAAGTTACAAAGGTATTTACAGATTACAGAGGTACGTAATGGGTCCAGGGACTGGGCCTCCAAAGTTTTGATAGCTGAACTAGGTACAAAAGTAATGAGCTCACAAGTTACAAAGGTAATGAATTCTGTAAGAATGGTTACTTACGTTTATACATGGCTACAATCATGAACAATTATAGTGTAATGAGCAATTCACACTTCCACACCGGTCACAACTGTAATGAGTTATTGGTGCAAAAAATTGATTGAGTTCCCCACAAAACACACACACACCACACCACAACAGGAGCTATAAATCGACCCCTGCAACCACAAATAGGCGAGTACAAATAGGTGAGTAAAACACAAAACACTAGACACTCACACTCACACACACACACACACACACACACACACACACACACACACACACACACACACCACACACACACACACACACAAAACACACACACACACACACACACACACACACACCACACACACACACACACACACACCACTTTAGTTTAAAATCTTTATTATGCACCCCATACCCATCTGTGGGCGGTAGTCAAAAGATTACAAAGGTACATAATGGGTCCAGTGGGCTGGACCCCAAAAGTTATGATAAAATAGATATTATTGCTATAAAAAGAGACCTGGCTCAATCTGAAAGATAGAGAGATCCCTCTGAATGTCACATACAAGGCTATAAATTATTCCAACTGACAGGGTCAACAGGAAAGGTGGTGGAGTAGCGATGTATGTCAGAGACAATTTTTAAAATTTTTTGTGTTAGACAAGATATTAAATTAAAAGCGTCAGCCACTGAATCTGTTTGGTTACAGCTTCTCGAGGGCCGAGAAAAACTAATTTTGGGGGTGATTTACGGGCCCCAAAACTTGATAGGGAGTGCAGTAAACTTCTATGGGACGAAATTCGTAAGGCATCTACATACGAAAATGTTGTGCTAATGGAGATTTCAACTATAGAAAAGATTGACTGGAGCAATTTGACAGAAATTTTTGTCAGGTGACTTTCTTGATACGATCCAGGATTGTTTTTTTAAAACAGTTTGTGACAGAGCCCAACTAGGGGAAATAACCTCCTTGACTTGGTTCTTGCCAGTAGGGAAACACTAATTAATAATCTTGAGGTTAATGATGAGCTTGGGGAAAGTGATCACAAATCACTCAGTTTTAATA